CTCAAGTATATGAGTGGTTTTCTCATTTCAAAAAAGGTGAAATGTCGATTGATGACAAACCTTGTTCTGGACATTCGTCAACTTCCCAAATGGACGAAAATGTTGACTTGTGGTGCATTTTGGAGTTCGTTCCACCAGATCAGACTGTTAATCAAGCTATTTAGAGGTTCTGAAAAGATTGCGTAAGAGTGTGCAACAAAAATAGGCCTGATTTGTGGCAGACGGGACTGATTTTGCTACCATAACAATGCACCTGCTCACGCAGCCATCTCAGTGCACCAGTTTGGGGCTGAAAAACCAGCATACCTCTCTTGTTCCATGCACCTTACTCACCTGACCTTGCTCCATGCGATTCTTTTTGTTTCCGTGAGTGATGAGGGACATGAAAGGACAGCGATTTAAGGAAATAGGAGAGGTGAAGAAAAAAATGAGGGAGGTATTATCATCCACCCAAACAGATGAGTTTCAAAAATGTTTCCAAGAATGGAATCGCAGATTTGAAAAATGTATTACTTTGAAGGTGATAAGGTTGTTTTGTAATAAAATTTAAATACATAACTTTGGGAAAAAAATCAGTTTTTGGGGAGATACCCCTTCATATAGTATGTCTATTCTATAATTGATTAAAATTAAAATGACCTTTTGATTGTTTCTGGCCTTCACCTGTTGCAAACAATGTTGCATGACTATCCTAATATGCCTAATGAATATGTGGCAAGTATGTCTGTGGCTTAGATTCCCAGAGCATAATGCTATTTCAAGATAGCTGCGTTAGTGGCAATCTTTAAAAATTAGATATTTTTGGTGTGCGTGTATCTAAGTAGTTTTTTTGTTTTAACTTAGTGATTCTCAACCTTCCTAATGCCGTGACCCTTTAATACAGTTCCTCATGTTGTGGTGATCCCCCAACCATAAAATTATTTTCATTGCTACTTCATAACTGTAATTTTGCTACTGTTATGAACCGGGCAACCCCTGTGAAAGGGTCATTTGACCCCCAAAAGGGTTACGACCCACAGGTTGAGAACCGCTGTTTTAACTAGTAATACTTGGGATTAAGGTTAATACGATTAGCATTACCCACTGTTATCAATATGAATTATTGGAAATTTTTAATGACTAAATAGTTCTGTACTTTTATGGTTTAGTAATGTTGCTGACTTTTGATTGTGATTAAATTATATTTTGACCTTTTCTGGATGTTTAAAGACTTATTACATATATTTTTTAATACTTTCCTAACTTTATTTAAGGTTCTGTTGGTGCAACTAATATGAATGAGCATAGTTCCCGTTCCCATGCCATCTTTACAATTACTATAGAGTGCAGTGAAAAGGGCGTTGATGGTAATATGCATGTCAGGATGGGAAAGCTTCATCTTGTAGATCTTGCGGTAAGTAACTAAAGGACTAATTCGTCTGATTTCATTGTATTTTATAAGTAAATAAAAATTGAAGTGAAAAGTATGATGTACATATGCTTTTTAAGTGTTTGCATGTGTGTACAGGTTTTTAAAAATAATTTATTTTTATGGATTGTGATGAGATGTAAGAGCCCCCAATAAAAAGATTTAATAAAAAGAAATTATTCCTGTTGTTGAGAGGATTCACAGCAGTTTCAACATGTGTAATTCAGTGACGTTGATGACATTCTTCCAGTTGTACGACCGTCCCCACCCTCGTTTTCTGAGCTGCTCCTGCTCCATTGGCGTTAGCTCACTGGCCCTGAACCAAACAAACGGACCACTGCCATGGAGTCAGTGCTGACTCCTAGTGACCCCTGTGCGTTCAGAGGCTGTCACTGCTGAGAGCAGTAGAAAGCACAGGCTTCCTTCTGCAGAGCTGCTGGTGGTTTCAAACTGCCGACCATGTGGGTCGCAACCAACACGTAACCCTTGTGCCACTGGGGGTCTTCTACTCACTGGCCTAAGGTGCCTAGGTAATGTTTGGATTGCTGTTGTCAATTTAGAAGTCCTGGTGGTAAGAGGTGAGCTGCTAACCACACGGATGGTGGTTCAAAGGGACCTGCTGCCCAGGGAGAAAGATGAGGCCATCAGGAGCCATAGGCTCAGAGACCCTAAGGAGCAGTCTCACTCTGTCCTATAGGCTATGGATTGGAATCAAATCAATGGCAGTGGGTGGATTGTCAGTTGTACCCCATACAGGTAGATCAGAAAAGCACAATGCTCAGGGCAGACATTCTTGTGTGTGTGTGTTTTCTTTCTTTTCTTTCTTTTCTGACATTCTTTACGAGGTAAGCTGTTTTTGGCTTTAAGATTTTAGGAGATATTGTTGAGGTAAGGTTTAAAAGTGACCTCAGGGCATTAGCTTCAAAGAGTCACCAAGTCTCCATGACTCCAGAGCATCTTGATTCCATGAAAATTTGAAATTTTGTTCTGCATTCTCTCCTCCCTTTGATTGGCATTCTTCTCAATATTTAACCAATTAAATGTTCAGTCATGGCAGCAGGGCACCATCCAGTTCTGGTCTCATGGCAAAGGAGGCATTTGTTCATAGAAGCAACTAGCCACACATTCCTTTTCTTCTTTCTGTTCCTGCCTATGGTGCACCTGACCCACGTCATGGTATTTTCAGTTGCCTCATATGC